ATACAAGTGTATGCATATAAATATATATTCTGTTTGTTTGCAAATGCATAAAGTTCAATAGAGCAGAGCTCAGATGCGAGGCAGTTTTATGGCCATTTGAATGAAACTGCAACGCTCAGCATTTAGCCAGGTCTTAAGTGTTATGGCCTTCTGTGCGCTGATGCTGCCGCTGCTGCTGCCGATGCAGTTTTAGCCTAGGTAAGACTTGGCGCATTTAATGCAGCAGCAAGAGGAAGAAAATTGAAAAAATGTTTATCTATGGGGCCATAAATTCTATTTTGGCAGCCAGCCCGTGGCAAGAGCATCATCCGCTTTCTCTCTTCTTCTCTCTCTCTCTCTCTAATGAGCAGTTCAGATATAAATGAGGCTAATTTTTGGCGCTCGCAATTCTCAAAATGAGAATAACAAAAGCTCAATTATACATATAAAAACAAGAGCTGAAGCCCGAGCTTCTCGAAAATATCTATATCTACTATGTGTGAAGTCCAGAATTTATATCAACCCGATTTCATTTTGTTGCAACTAAAATATTTACGCTCCAGCATGATAATAATAATAATTTTCTTTCTCTCTCCCCTATCTGTGCTCTCCTTGCAGCTTCGATGTGCGCGATACCATGGCCATTGAGCAGCCCAGACATTGGTCAGCTCCGGAGGTGTTTGGCTCTCGTGCCAAATTTCATTTTGACTCGCAGCCAGCTACATTGGAAATTAAGGTAAGATTCGCCATGGTTAACCAAGAGCAGCTCGCAGTTTGCTTCTTTCATTTTGTGTGTGTGAATGAAAATACGATTTGGACCTAAATGAATTCTTTAAATATTCCATACAGTAGAGGGAGGGCATTTGAGCAAAACTCGAATCGAAGCATTTGGACTATTTAAGAAACTTTCCACGAAGTGTGGAAGGAGCGCAAATATTTGGCTATCAACAATTTAAAAATTCAATTGAAGTTTGTGCGTTGAGTAGAAATGGATAGAAGAAAATGCAAATGGAGTATGAGTGGATAGAATAAAGGTATAGAATATGCTCTATAAATAGAATGTTTATCTACATGAAGAGCGTTAATCTATGAATAGATTTGTAGTGTAATATAATATAGATATAGGGCGCATTCCTAGTTCAAATATATATTGTACATTTTGGCATTCAATTGAATGAAAGTTTTCTGCCTTTGCATTCAGTTAACTGCGGTTCCCATAGCATTTGCAAAGGGCTTTCCAATTGGGAAAATCTGAAAATGGCAAATGGCAATTGGCGTAGCGAATGCGTGCTAAGAATTAAGTCAGCGCGAATAACAGCAAGCGGATGTACCGAACATTTTGCAAATGGGCACAAATGTCGGATTGCGGAATGCCGAATACAGTTAGAAAGCTGCGACTGGGTCTGTGACGGTGACTGCGACGTCGACAGCGACAGCGACAGCGACAGCGACGGTGACTGCGGTTGCGGCTGAGGCAATGCGAAAACAAATTTAGATATCAAAAGTTGTTAAATTGCCTCGCGCACGCGAAATGTTTATTAATGTCTTGCATGTTTACAGATAACTTGATTTACCGTTATTGTCATGCAATGCACACACACACACACACACACACTCATTCATACAGACAGACATGCATATACGCATTACACTGTGTGTGTGTGTGTGGCAGCTACTTGAACTAACGCCTCGACGCCACAAACCGTTGACTTTTAAAGGCCAACATGACTTGGGTTCGGTTCCTGGCTGTTGGAATCCTTGGACAATTCCTGGCTTAAGACAACCTGCTGGGAAGGCTAACGAGCTGCATGTTCACACACACACACACACACGTACTCAACTATGGAGTTGAAAATGAATGTGAAATGCACACGAAGAGGCAGCCTGAAGGATTCTCCAATAAATTTGCCATTCGCGGTTGCATGAAGCTTCATAATGCAAAGCGTTATACCAGAAATTTATATATGTGTATATATGTGCATACATATGTATATAGCTTTATGCACATATAACTCAAATAGTCCCATGAATAATGTGCGACAAATGGCTGGCATCTGGGTGAGGAGTTGACTTTATAAATGAATTTTAATTGCCTTCCAATTGCCGGGAAATTAACCTAACGCCAGGTCGACTATAAATTACCAGCAAGTAGTTAGAGAATTCTCCCGCTCAAGCGAATACGATACGTTTGATTATATCAATAAAGAGTATGAGCAGAGAGTAGAATAATTATAAACCTGCGGAGGATTGGAATTTTTGATTTAAATTGGAATTTTTGATTTAAATATAAAAATTTCAGTTTTCTTCAATATAAATTGAATAAATTGAATACAAGAGGCACTCATTATTCATTGACCTTATGCATTATTTACGGAACTAGTCTAAATAGCCCTTACTAGCTCATGGATAATAGCTAATGTAGAGGCATATAGGCAGCAAAAGGGACATAAAAAGAACTTTTTGAACCATACTAGCTCTACTTATCCTGAAAATAACTTAAAAGAACTAGTTCAGTGCTCAAACGAGACTTTTGTAATTTCCTGTTGGATTGCTAATAACAATGAACTAGCATTGAACTCTTCTACTGAACAAGTTCATTTATCAAAAACACACACACACACATACCATTCATAGACTGAACTCAGGCATAATTAAGCGAACCAAACCATAGCTGAGAGAACTAGTTGGCCACAACTTGAGCGCTTAGCCCGGACTGAGGCTTACGATATATATTTCAAGTGCCCTGGCAGAGAGAGCGAGAGAGAGAGAGAGAGAGAGAGAGAGAGAGACCACAGAGCAGTCGTGCGACTTGGTTGACATGGAATAATTGAAAATTACATGGCTGCAAGCAGAAACAACTGTATTATGTGGCCAGGTGTGCAGGTGTGCAGGTGTGTGGGCGTTTAGGTCTAAGACTGTGTGTATGCTAATCATCTGTTTCCTTTCACCCACACATGTATAATAATTTAACGTATGACATTTTGCAGGATATCAAAAGGCATGATCAAGGCATTTACCGTTGTCGTGTCGATTTTCGCACAGCTCAAACACAGAGCTTCCGTTTCAATTTGTCTGTAATAAGTGAGTATCCAAAATGCAGACACACACACACACACACACACACACACACACACACACACACACACACACACACACACACACACACACACACACATACACACACTCTATAGCACATGTATATACCTATCTACCTATCAATTGTTGCTGTTGTTTTTAGTACTTCCGGAGCAGCCCATCATACTGGACCGTTGGGGTCGTCAACTGAATGGCACACAATTGGGTCCCAAGCAGGAGGGCGATGATATTGTTATCACTTGTCGTGTGGTGGGCGGTAAGTAAGCCCAACTAACGTTGCTTAACCCCATTGCCAATGAACACGCCCCCATTTCTTTATACAGTTTTCTTTCATTTTTTTTTTTTTCTCTACACATGACTATATCCGCTCGACCGGCTAGACAATTTCCTGTTAATTTCCTTAAAAGCTTTGGCAAAAAAAAAAAAAAAAAAAAAAAAACTGTAAAAAATCGGAAAAAAAACCTCAAGCCTCAGTTTGACCGAAAATGAAAATATCACAAAGTTTGTATTTGCTTTGCTTTCGTTTTCTTTGCGTTATATATTTTTTGTTTCTTCTTTATTTTAGCCTTGCCAAAACTTGACTTTTTAATTTGCGCACCCTATGCTCTCCCTCTCCCTCTCTCTCTCTCTCTCTCTCTCTCTTTGTCTCTGTTCATATATATGTACATGTCCATCTACAATTGTTTTTGTTCTGTTCGTCTCTTTCGACTCGGTTTGATAGGTCGACCGCAACCGCAGGTCCGCTGGCTCGTAAATGGACTACTTGTCGACAATCAAAACGAGCACAATTCTGGCGATGTTATCGAGAATCGACTGTTGTGGCCATCGGTGCAGCGCAACGATTTGAATTCCGTATTCACATGTCAGGCATTGAATACGCAATTAGATAAGCCCAAGGAAAAGAGCTTCATACTGGACATGCATTGTAAGTGGGCCAAATTCCAATACTCTACTAGATAGAGCTGTCGATGTATATATATAGTATAGTATATCGATGTATATATATAGTATAGTATATGTATATGAATAAAGAGTTTGAGTAATTAAGGCGTAAAGCAATATATCATTTATCACATTATTTATCCACATATTTATATTATTATATGCAGTTTAGATCAAATTTGATCTGTTTCCTCAGACTAGGCTAACTAGATGTGCTGAAAAGTTTTCTTTGAATCTAAACAATTCAATTAGTGAAATGAAAATACGATTGTTTCAGGGGAAAGCTCTTAATTATTTCCAGAACATTCAGTCAACAGCTGTTGTATAAACATAAACAAATCCAATGCAATATATTTCATGATTTCACGATAAACAAAGAACAAGTTGTATATTGCTCCTATATACATATGTTTGTATACATATATATGTATCGCCCAAGTAGCCATTAAATAATTACCACGTTTACAATGAAATGAATGAATGAAGGGGCGTTAGACCTAACATTAACCTCGCTCCATTTTCAGCTGCACTCGTGCTGGCCATTAGGTATGCACAGGTAAGAGCAGGTGTGTAGTCCGCACTTGAGTTGAGACGGTGCTTAGATGCTATCGTACGTAGAGCAGATACAAATTGTTAAGGCTTCGCATTATTTATATAAACTTGACATGCTACAGTTAGGTGATGGGATGGCTTCAAGCAAAGTGGGTTTACATTGAGAATGTTAGGGATATGTTAATAAATATTAATTTAAATATACGTATATGTAATTCTAAGATCTCTGTTTAATGCACTTTACTATCTATAGCAATTTATCAGAGTGTATTTAATTGCCGTTACATAAATTATAAACTGCTCTATTCGCAGTGAAACCATTAACCGTTAAAATTCTGGATCCGCCCAGTTCAATGATTGCCGATCGACGCTACGAAGTCACCTGTGAATCGTCCGGTTCACGTCCGAATGCCATCATCACCTGGTACAAGGGAAAACGTCAATTGCGACGCACAAAGGTGAGTAAGAGGTGGGGGCCTGGAGCAGGCTTGACGCGCACCTGACCGCAGTTGGCGTACCCGGCCGAACGCGTGCGGGGGGAGGGCAGCCAAAGGGTCTGTTGACTGACTCACGATAAGTTATTGTATTTGCATAGGCAAGCCACAAGCACACATACACAAACACACACACACACACACAGCAGCTGCAGCTCGTTGGGTATAGGGGGGCGCAACACCCACTTGTTGTCCCTGGGCGTGGCTCACACTCGCCGCGCTCCGCACTCACCGTTAGAATAAACACAGATAATGTGATATAAACTCCACAATACACAACGTGCAGCAACGCCTTGCCTTGTCAGCCCGCTGCCACGCCCCCGGCGTCCGCCCGCACCCGCAATCCTTTGGCTTTTCATTTTATTTGCTACGCTTTTCCTTTTGCCAATTTCATTTGCTGTTGTTGCTGTAGTATTTTGTGTTTTTGTTTCGGTTTTTGTTTTTGTTTTTGTTTTTTGTTTTGTTTCAACTTGGGACAAATTTATGGGAGTTTTAGCGCAATTTTGTTGCAATTCATTTTTGTGCCGCTCTGCTGTTGACTTGTCCGGGCCTGCCGTTGTCCGGAACCCGAAAAACTGTTGTTGTTTATGTCCATGTCTGTCCGCCTTATATGCATACTCGTTTATGCATACCAGCGCTGATTGCTTTGCCGTTTGCAGCTACACTCCTTTAAAGGCCGGAAATGTTTTTCACTAGTTTTTCACGTGGCATAAAGTTGCCGTAATGCGGCAAAAGGCCGCCCTCTAGTCTACGGCAGCCAGACAGACGGACGGACGAACACACATATGCATAAAGAGAGAGCAAGATGGAGTGAGAGAGAGTGAGAGACAGAGAGCGAGTGAGAGAATTACTGAAACAGTCCGATGTACTGGCCTTTAGACATGCTTCTGCTACATGCCTTTTGGTGCCTTAGTTTCCACTCTAATGTGCGGACATTGTGGGTGGCTTTGATGTGTGTGTTTGTGTGTGTTTCTCTCTCCCACTCCGTTTGCCCTCTTTGTGTGTGTAGCAGACATGGGAATATGGCTGGCATAAAACTAAAGTCTAGCAACTTCATATGGAGCACGACATTAATCAACGCTTTTGGGGCCAACGACTCGGCCAACAATCGTGTCGCTCGTTACGTATTGCAGCTAATTAGATAGTTCGAGTCCGAGTCCGACTTCGAGTTGGCCCAAAACATGTTATTTACATTACTACAAAATATTTTTCAAATAACTAAACTTGTCAACTGGGTTGAGCTCTACATAAAAGCTTATGGGATATATATGGGGCGGGGCAGTTCAGTTAATTAAAAATTCAGAAAGTCCCCCAAATCCCGAAAGTGTTTCATACGCATATTTTGAATTTTTTGTATATATTTTTAATATTTTGAATTCGTCTGAAGAACTTTTCGAGTGCCCAAAAACATTTTTATGATGCCCCATTTATTTCGCCAACTGCTCAGCTATTAACACCTCTCGAAGCAGCGACTGCAGAAAACGTGGCACTACAACAGGCAGCCAGCCACGCCCCCAGCCCCCGCCGCATTTACTTTTGCATGTATGTATGTAGTTGTATGTGCATATTTCACGGCTTTAGCAGCCGTTTAGCAAGTTTTGGTGGCTGGCCGCTAGGGGGCGACAGCCAACACATACACACACACACACGTTTAAAAATGAACAATTTTATGACCTGTTCAACTAACAGCAAGAATAACGGCTACAACAGCACAACTAATTATATGTTGTTGTTGTTGTTGTTGTTGCTGTTGCTTGGCGCTATAAAATTTATAATACCCACACAAGGCACATAAAACCCAAAGTATACAGCAATAAATTTTAAATTGCAAACATAAAATATTTCGACAAATTTGCAAAAAAAGTAAGAAGAAGAAGAAAACATACACACACACACACACACACAAAGAAAACAATGAGCAGAACGCCTTAGGACATTTTTTTTTAGTGTAAAGGAGATCCACACTCGCGCACCCACTCTCTCCCTGTAAGGTGTCCCCCTCTCTCTCTCTCTCTCTCTCTCTGTCTTGCTCTAAGGCCGAAACTTAATTAATGCAGAAACACATTTTGCAGGACGACATATCAAAGAACTCGACACGCTCCGAGCTGAGCTTTGTGCCCACCACAGACGACGATGGCAAATCGATAACATGCCGTGCGGAAAATCCAAATGTGAACGGCCTCTATTTGGAGACCATGTGGAAATTGAATGTCGTTTGTAAGTATTACAAATTGTGTTTAAGTCTAAAATATATATATATATATATACTGTGTATATCGCTAAAAATAACCCAAAAAAAAGGTAAGAATTTGCCGACAGCTAGCAGAAAGGTAGACAGCCAGCTGAAATTTATTACGCCGTCGTCGCCGTCGCCGTCGCTGTCGTCGTCGCCGTTGAAAGCCTTTAAAATGCAAATAAATCAAAGACAAATGACAAATTGTGAATAATTTGCTATGGGCCAGAAGGCAGCCGCCATGTTACCACCCAAAAAACAGTCCCCAGCTCCCACCCACTCCGCACCACCTTTTCGCATTCAGACCGCTGGCGTGGAGCGTTTCAGCGCCCCAAATGAAATATGTGGGCTAACAAAATGTATGGCAGGCGCTTAAATTAAATGAAGGACTTTACGTACTCATATACCTAGCCCATGTATAGACATAGGCCTACTCCAAGACAAAGCAGAAGACTCACATACCCCTCAAGCAAAATCATATCAAAGTAAATGTTTCGTTGCCTAGTTATGGCCAGGCTCTTGTAATTTTGTTTCAAGTATAGCTGATATAGGTTAGGTTGCGCTAGGTTAGGGTAGGTTGGGTTAGATTAGATGTGCTTAGGTTAGGTCAGTTTAGCTTGGGCTAGACTAACTTATTGATTTCGTTAGGCCAAGTTTGGCAGGCTGAGGTGAGGTAAGCATATTTTAACGATTGACGGTTGAGATATGGTTGCGTTATATATGGTTATATAGCATATGAAATAGATTAAGTGAGGATAGGCAAGGGTCATATATATATAGATATTAGACAGTTCTGAAAGTCCTTTGTGAGAAATCTGTGACGAATAAGAGAATTATGTAAGAAGAAGTCTAGACAAAAGTGAAATATAGGCAAAACTCTCATAGGTTCTACATGACGAGATTAAAACGTATTTCCATTAATTACTATGCTAGTTCATTCATTTAAACATCTCGTTATGTTCAATGCTTCACAACGTCTATCTGTACTTTATCATATATTCAATATCCGGCCACATCTCTTAGTTATTAATGCCACAGCTCTGAAATCAAAGCTCAGATCGTAGTTAAAGATTAACCAACTGCCAAACGGCCATGCTGTTGGCCCCAAATTGTACAGTCAATGGGTCAATAGACGGCTAAGTAAGCACTGCGGACATCGTAAAGTGCCAAAGCCAGAGTTGTGTTTGGGTTCACGTTACGTATACGTCGCGTTGTATTTTATTATTTCGACTGTGTGTACATTGTGCACACATACACTCTCACATGTGTGTGTGTGTGTGTGCGGCACATCACGTAATGTTGTTTCTTTGCTTTTCACTTCCTCAAATATTAAATTTTTACTGCAATCTGCTGACGTCAAGAAAAAAAAAAAAAAAAAAAGAAATAAATAAATAAAGAAAAGAAGAGAACAAAATACACAGCAC